GACTAGCCAATAAAGAGCAGAGCTGGCCCAGCACGTGAGCACGTTGTGTTCAGAAGCTGTGGGTGACTGTGGTGTGAATGCAACAGCTGTGACGATGTGGGTGGGTGGACTGATGGACAGATGGATGGGTGGATGGCTGCAGGAGCAGGTAGGCTGCTGCGGGGGGGGTCTCACAGAACACCTGGAATATGGACTGACCCCGGAGCAGCGGTGAGGTCAGCATGGCTCTCTGGGGGCACAATTCACACCCATAAAACCAACCCACTGGAAGGGTATGCACAGTCCAGCGACCGCTTCCAGCAGACTTACGAGGTTGTGCGCTTGTCATTGTGACCCAGTGTTAGGATGTTTCCATCCTCCCCTGAAGTCCCTCAGTCGCCCCCCCGCCACTCCCCCAACCCCCGGCAGCCACTTACCTGCCTTCTGTCCCCGGACTTGCTTTTCGTGGACATTTCATATAAACAGAGTCAGACAACACGTGGCCTTTGGGGACTGGCTTGTTGCATTTAGCCTGTTTTCGAGGTTAACCCCCCCCCCCTGCAGTAGTGTGTGGCAGGACTCCACTCCTGTTACTGCTGAGTAATGTGCCGTTCTGTGGACAGAGCACACTTTATCCGGTTGCCTGTCCTGAGTTTATTTTCAGCTTTTTAAGAAATTGCCCAACTGTTTTCCAAAGCAGCTGCACCCCTTTTCATTCGTGCGGGGCACTGTTTCAGCTTCAAGGGCACGAGCGTCGGCAGTGCCATGTCCTGGCGCCATGTCTGACATGGTCCCCGTGGGGAGGTGTGGCCCACAAAGAGGGTGAACCCCGGGTGGCCAGGCCTGCGTGTTCTCTGTGGGCCACCCCAGGTCACACAGTGAGCCCCCCGAAACTTACACTGCCCCCACCTTGGTGACAGGCCCACTGTGAACAGGGCCAGGCAGGGGGCTGTTGCTAATTCCGGCTGGGCCGTGTGACCGGCAGGGGCCCCAGCTGCTGGGCTGCCACTGGGCTGTTTATAGAAAAGCCCCACCCCACCCCAGGCCTGCTGGCTATTTATAGACCCGGGCTTCGGGGAGCTGGTGCCCCGGCCAGCATGTGGCCCTGCGGAGACTGTCTGAACCCCCGTGGTGTCTCCCTGGCCCCCCTTAGCCTCCACTTCACACCTGCTGGCCCAGAGCCCTGGGCCTCCCCCAGGAAGGGCTCAGAGCCGGCAGCCCCGACCCGGGGACTTCAGCCCAGTGGTGGAAGCACCCCACCCCCAATCGTGTGTGACGCCAGCAAATCTTTCTCTGTGGCTCCTGATAACATTCAGAGATTTGACTCTTGCATCTGGAAACAAGCAAACCAAGAAACCTCCTATCTCTCAGTCCCTCCTGCTGCAGTCCCGCCTCTTCCTCGTCTACACAGCCAGCCTCCGTGCCCCAAATTCCCTCCCACCCCCTCACTCCCTGAAACCCTCCACCCTCCGGTCTGACAGACCGTCCTGGTTGCAGGCCCACGGATCGCCCCGTTCCCCACCTCCCCCCGCCGTCCTCAGCCTCCTCAGCCTTTGGAAGCTTCAGAGCCTCACACCCAGCCCTCCTGCCCCCGCTGCGGCTGATTCCAGGCTGGCGGCCAGGGAAGTGGGAAGTGCGGGGGCGCCGCCCAGTGTACCCTGAGTCCGTCACGTCATTGAGGAAAGGTCCCCCTGCTTGTAACCTACGGTGTCCTCGTGTGACAGAAGAGGCAGTGGGGCACAGAAGGGCCAAGCCACCCACCGGGAGCCAGGGTCGGCGTCGGTGTCGGGGCTCCCGCCAGGAGGCCAGGGGGACGGAGGACAGGGGAGGGAGAAGAGAGTGGGAGGAAGGGCAGCTGCGCAGAGCACTCCTGTGCTGGGGCTTGATTCAGTCGCACACACGAGTACGTGACAAGCCCACTGTCCACCCCCGCCCTCCTGGGGAGGGTCTGCTCTCCCTGTGTCTGGCCTGGGAGCCCTAGGAGCTCAGCGGCTCTCTGAGCCTGGGGCGGAAGTCAGCGGGCAGGCCCCGGGACCCTCTGCGCTGAGAGACCCCCTGGGGAGGGAACGAGGGGCACCGACTCCCAGCCCTGGGGCGGGACCTAATGGGGCACGCCTACCCGGAGGGCTCATCCCTGGTCCCTTCTCCGACCAGTAGGGCTAGCCAAGTCCACACCCAAGTGTACTTAGGTTGTGTCTGGCAGGGTGGGCCAGGCAGTGCACTCAGCTGGGAACTCCGGAGTCCAGCAGACCATGATACCCCCTCTCTGGGCACCCAGTCCCTCCACAGGCTGGGGCAGGAAAGAGGTCTGGTATGGGGCCTCTTGGAGACCCCGGCCCTTTGTGGCTGGTGAGCATCCTTGGCTGCTCCCCTGCCCGGCCAGGTGACAGCACTGGTTCCTTCT